AATAAAATAAATAGAATGAAAATAAAGTTTGCTAAAAAATAAAACGAAAATAAAATGAAATTAAATAAAAAATAGAACGAAATGGGTTGTCTCCCATCAAGTGCTTTTATTTAACGTCGTTAGCTCGACGACCTGATTTTTCAAAGTGTGGGTTCCTCTAAATTGATTTCTTCTAGTAGACCAACCAGAATATTTTCATAGTACGACTTTAGACTTTGACCGTTAACTTTAAATCGAACTCCTGAGTTATCTTCAACTTCAACAGCACCGTGAGGAAATACTTGTGTTACTGTAAACGGTCCGAGCCATTTTGATTTGAGATTTCCTACAAAAAGTTTAAATTTAGAGTTAAATAATAAAACCTTTTGACCAACAGAAAAAGTTTTAAAAGAAATTCTACTATCATGAAATTCTTTATTTTCTTTAAATATCCGAGCATTATCATAGGCATTTCTTCGGATTTCCTCAAGTTCTTCAATGTGTAATTTTTGAGCTTCACCAATTGCATCCATGTCCATGTTACATTGTTTAACGACCCAATAAGCACGATGTTCTAACTCAACTGTTAAATGACATGGTTTATCGAAAACAAGTTGGTATGGTGACATCCCAATGGGACCTTTATAAGCAGTTCGATATGCCCAAAGTGCATCGGTTAATTTTAAACTCCAATCCTTTCTGTCTGGTTTAACAATTTTCTCAAGAATTGTTTTAATTTCCAAATTTGATACTTATTTCTGTCCATTTGTTTGCGGATGGTAAGCGGTAGAAATTCTTTGAGTTACTCCAAATTTCTTCATTAGCGACTTGATGACTCGGTTTATGAAATGTGTTCCTATGTCGCTTATTATAGCCTGTGGTGTGCCAAACCTGGAAAATATATTTTTCAAAAAATTAATTGTAGTTTTAGCATCATTATTTCGAGTGGTCTTAGCTTCCACCCATTTAGAAACATAATCTACAGCTAAAATAATACAAGTATTTCCAAATGACGAAGTAAAATGGCCCATATAATTGATTCCCCAAAAATAAAAAATTTCACAAACTTGTATAGAATTAAGTGACATTTCATTCCTACGGCTTAAATTACCTGTACGTTCTTTCACAAGTTTTACAAAACATATAAGAGTCCTGAAAGATGTTAGGCTAACAGAAACCGCATTCAAGAATTTTATGGGTTGTACGTTTTGGCCCAAAATGACCATCACAAGAGTAATAATGACAAAATTGTAAAATTGAATTTACCTCGCTTTCGGTAATACATCGTCGAATTATCTGATCCGAGCAGTGCTTCCATAAATAACGATCGTCCCAAATATAGTATCGAGATTCCCGCTTAATTCGATTGATTTCAGCTCTCGGTAAATCTAGTGGTAACTTACATGTGGCTAAATAATTAACCATGTCCGCAAACTATAGGGTTATGCTTTACGCCACCATCAGTTTTTCTTCAGGAAAATCTTCTCTAAGTGGTGGTTCGGATGTAGAAAGGGGAATTTGACTCAAGTGATCTGCTACCAGACTTTTCAAATCCTTTTTTATCTTTAATTTCCAAGTTAAACTCTTGTAAAAGAAAGATCCATCGGATAAGCCTCGATTTTGCCTCCTTTTTGCTCACCAAATACCTTATAGCTGTATGATTAGAAAAAACAGTAATTTTAGTGCCAAGCAAATAGGATCTAAATTTTTCTAAAGCAAAAATTATAGCAAAAAATTCTTTTTCCGTAGTCGAATAATTTTTTTGAGCGAGTCCAAAGTTCGGGATGCATAGGCTATGACATGTGGCTCTTTCCCTATTTTTTGGCCAAGAACGACTCCAACGCTAGTATCTGATGCGCCACACATAAGTTCAAAGGGATGATTCCAATCTGGCGGCTGAACAATTGGAGCTGAAATAAGTTTTTCCTTTAATGAATCGAAAGACTCTTTGCATTTTGAATTAAAGTCAAAGTCTTGATCCTTTTGAAGTAGATTGCATAATGGTTGTGCTATCTTTGAAAAGTCCTTAATAAAAATGAATTTCCCTTACAGTTGTGGGGTAAGGAAGTGAGCGTATAACATCTATTTTAGCTTTATCAACCGCAATCCTTTTTGAGGAAACAATATGACCTAAAATTAACCCTTTATCAACCATAAAATGACATTTTTCATAGTTTAAAACAAGGTTATATTCTAAGCATCTTTTAAGCACATTAGTTAAATTATCAAGACATTCATTAAAAGAATTACCAAAAACCGTGAAGTCATCCATAAAGACTTCGATGCCCTTCTCCACATAGTCGGAAAATATACTTAACATGCATCTTTGAAAAGTGGCCGGTGCGTTACAAAGACCAAAGGGCATTCTTCTATATGCAAATGTACCGAAGGGACAAGTAAAAGTCGTTTTTTCTTGATCCTCTGGCGCCACTGGGATTTGAAAAAAACCTGAAAAACCATCAAGGCAACAATAATGAGTTTTCCCAGCTAATCTTTCAATCATTTGATCTATAAAAGGAAGAGGAAAATGATCTTTTCGAGTAAGAGAGTTCAACTTCCTGTAATAAATACAAACTCGTCATCCATTTTGAATTCTTGTGGGCACTAACTCCCCTTCTTGATTTTCGACCACTGTGACTCCCGTTTTCTTGGGAACCACATGAATTAGACTTACCCAATTACTATATGATATCGGATAGATTACGTCAGCATCGAGGAGTTTCTAAATTTCTTTCTTTACTACTTCCATCATCGGTGGATTTAATCGACATTATCCTTCTCGTGATGACTTTGCTATTTCTTTGACTTTGATCTTGTGCATGCAAGTCGAGGGACTTAATCCTTTAATGTCGGAAATGGTCCATCTTATGGCTTCTTTGTGAGAGCGCAACACTGCTACCAAAGCTTCATCTTTTCTTTTGGATAATTTACTTGAGATGATCATAGAAAAAGTTTCATTTTCACTCAAAAAGGCATATTTCAAATGCTCGGGTAATTGTTTCAATTCTACCTCAGGTGCTTGCAAAACAGAAGGTAATATTTTAGTTTTAGAGGAAGATAAAGATAAATTAGAATTGATTAAATTAATATTTTCAAACTCCTTTTCTTCCTCTTCGTGGCAAAGTCAGGATCCTTAAAAAATCATAAGAAAAATTAGATTCAATATATTCATTAATTAAAGGATCTATAATATCAACATAATTAATTCTTTCAACATGATCAGGGTATTTCATTTCTTTGTAAACATCAAATTCAACGATCAAATTCCATTGTCAGTATACCACTTCTGACATCAATCTTTGTATGTTCGGTGCTTAGGAAGGGTCGGCCTAAAAGTACCTCGGAATAAGTATCTGACCTGTCATGTTCCATGTCAATGACATAGAAATCTTCAGGAAAAAATAATACATCAATCTTTACTAAGACGTTTTCCATTACTCTCACTGGATAGATAACAAATCGATCATCCAACTGTATGGTTATTCATGTTTCCTTCAAAGGTTCGTTAGCAATCATTTTATATATAGAAAATGGCATAACATTAATTGAAGCTCCTAAGTCACACATTGCACGTTTAATTTTAAAATCACCTATTTTGCAAGGTATAGCGAACACACCTTAATCCTTCATCTTTGGTGGGAGCTTTCGTTGAAAAATTACAGATACATGTTCTCCCAAATTTACCTTTTCGTGCCCCATTAATTTTCTCTTTGTAGTGCAAAGTTCATTTAAAACTCGAGCATACCTTATTACTTGTCGAATTACTTCAAGAAGAGGTATGTTGACTTGAACTTTTTGGAACACCTCTAAGATATCCTTTTTCTTTAGCTCTTTTATCACGCTTCATCAATCTTGATGGAAAGAGTGGTGGTGTGATTTCATGAGAAGAAAGAGAATGATGGGTGTTAGAGGTACCTTGTATTTCTGAAGGTGGCGTGTTCTCTTGTTCTTTCTAATGTGCGACTTTTTCTGCTGGAACTTCAGGTGAGATACTTTTCCACTTCGGAGTGTAATGGCACTAATATTCTTTCTCAGATTTAACTCCATTTGTGAAGGTAGTCTTCCTTGTGATTCCAATTTTCCCAGAGTTTGAGCTAGTCAGCTTACTTGGTTATCTAACTCTTGAAGATGTATTTCAGTTCGGCTTTGGAATTTTTCCTGGGATGCAATGAACTTTTATTGTGAAATTGCTAACTTTCCTATGAGTTCCTCCAATGATGGTCTTTGATTTGCCGCATAGCTGAAGTTTGGGTGGTCTCGCCATCCTGGATTATAAGTATTGTTGTATGGGTTGTATTGTCTTTGTGGAGGACCTGGAAAGTTCCCTACTGCATTGATTCCTGCATTGCCTCCTTCTTGTATCAGCGGGGAACAATCCGTCGGATGGTCTAGCTTTGTGCGTATCCCACATGCTCTTGTTGCTCCAGATTTTCCTGTAACAAGTGAATTAACTACTTCAGTTAATTTATCTAACTTATTTTCAAGGGAAAATATACTTATCTCGTGAACCCCTTGGCTGGGTTCACTTGAAAACTGTTTAGAGTTTGATGCCATGGTTGAATTCAATTCCCTTGCTGTTGTTGGGGTCATGATGACTAATGCTCCTCCACTGGCGACATCCACTATTTTCATCTCCATTGGTAAAAGGCCTTCATAAAAGTATTGAAGTAACGTTTGCTCACTTAATTCGTGTTACGGACAACGTGCTCAAAGTTTTTTAAATCGTTCCCAATAGTCATAAAGACTTTCTTCGGTCTTTTGTTGAATGTAAAGAATATTCCTTCGTAATTCACTTGCTTTAGCCGCTGGAAAGAACTTGTCAAGAAAAATTCGATTCATGTCAGCCATGAATTAATTGAATTTGGAGGTAAATAAAATAACCAATCTTTAGCCAAATCGGCTAAAGAGAAAGGGAAAGCTCTCAATTTAATTTGATCCTCAGTAATTCCCTGTGGTTTCATGCTAGTGCAAACCATGTTGAATTCCAACAAGTGTTTGTGCGGATCTTCAGTGGGAAAGTCATGGAAGGTGAGAAGAAGATGAATGAGTACTGTCTATAATTGAAACGGAGTCACACCACTAGGAAAATTAATGCATAATGGCGTTTGAGTGACATGAGCTGTGGCTAGCTCTCGGATCGTTTGTTCTTCTTTTGCCATCGGAATGTTGTATGCGTCTACTTCAAAGTCTGTCTTCGTATTTGATTGTGCTTCTGAACTCTGCTCTTGTTCTTCTTGTCTTTTTCTTTTCTCGAAGTATTTGTGTGTGGATTCTTCGTGCTCGTGCTTCGATCTCCAGATCTAGATCTACTAATTCACCTGGGTTTTTTCTGATCATAAATAAAAAACTAGAAAAATAAATCAATACTTGCCATTAGTCCCTGGCAACGACGCTAATTTGATAACCGTTGTTTTGCTATCAAAATAATTTCGACTTCTTAAGTATAAAGGAAAAGGTAGTATAGAGAAGCAGGGTCGATCCACAGGGACTATGGTTTTTGTGATTTAATAAAACTGTTTCTTGATTTTAGGAAATGATAGGATTCCAAGTAAAGTAGAAAAGGTATAATAAAATAAATAATTATAAAAAGGAAAAATAGTAAAATAATAAATAGTAATAGTAATAAATATAAAAGGGAGTTTTTAAAAGTTATTTTTAAAATAAAAGATAAGAATTAAATAAAAGAAAATAATTAAATAAACAAATTAAAAATATTGAGATAAAGAGAAACTTATTGTGAAAGCAGCCTCAGACTTCAGCTTTGCCTCAAATTCCTTGGATCATCGAAACATATTTTTACTTCAATATTCATGTCGGCTTACAAGGACAATTCTTCGCTAACTCGGATTGTGTCGTTTCAACAACAACTGATTCCGATCTCAGTTTCCTCTTAGCAAACAATTTTTCCAAGTATGTTCACGGGAAGTTGAATATACTTCAATAAGCAAATCCTTCTTCAAACGTTAACTATAACAATATCCAGACCAATGTCGAAATCGTTTTAATTTGAAAAGTAAACTCAGAAAACAAAGAGAAAAATCTGAAGCAATTTAAGTACCTCACAATTCTCACGTTTGGAATTGAGCCTTTGCTTCAATCTTCGGCTTGAGAGAAAATTAGCTAAGCATGACCAAAGTCATACATAGCATAATTGAAAAGTATGCAAAAAATAGAGAGAAAGCTAGAGAGAAAAAGAAGATTTTATTCTCAGATGAGAGATATATGTTTCTAGGCTTACCCTGAGAGGGTCTTTATAGCCTTCATATTACTAAAAACAAGTTAAAACATCTTAAATACTAATTAAAACACTTAAAACTATTTAAACTAAAATACCTAAAAAAATAATATTTAAAATAATATTCTAAATCCTAATTAAAATACTAAAACATATTTAAACTAAAATACCTAAAACAAAGATAAAATATAAAAATAATATCCTAAAACTTAATTAAAATACTAAAACCTATTTAAATTAAAATACAAATATAAAATATAATTTTTAAAATATTATCCTAAACTTGAGTTTAATTCAAATCTGAATTCCAGCCAATTTTGATTCCCAAAATAAAAAAAATTGCAGAATTCTGTCCTTTTTATGCAATTTCCAGAATCTAACGTCTTATACAGAAAATGTATCAAAACGAATAATTAAGACACAAAAAATCAATGATTAAGGAGTAATTTAAAAGCAAAATATTAACTAAATTAAGCTTATCAATAAGTTACATGATTTAATGATTTCATTTTTCTTTTAAATAGAAATTTGATGTTGTAACTCGTTATCGCATAAAGGATGGAGGCTTGAGTTTTTTCAGTGACATAGCACTTCTACTTATTGATGAAGTTCACCTGCTGCATGATCTTCGTGGGGCAGCTTTGGAAGCAATAGTTAGCAGAATAAAAATGCTTGCTCGCAAACCAGAAATGAAATCAAGTGCTGGGGCTTCTGTTCGGTTTTTAGCTGTGTCAGCCACTATTCCAAATATGGAGGACCTTGGTAAATTTTTTCTCTTATATGTATGAAAGAGTTAGTCTAGTTTAATTTGAAACTTGTCTTCAGAAGATGGAAAGTAATTTATGTTTTTTATAACATTCACATCGCATGCCAACAAGCACAGTTGAATGGCTCGAGGTCCCTGTCCAAGAATCAGGAGGTGATTTATTCATGGGTTTGCTGCATTATCTTCTCTTAGTTTTCTGTAGAGTTATATTTCCTTTATCTTCCTAATGTTTAACAGGTTAGGAGAAGAAATGAGACCTGTAAAGTTGACCACTAAAGTTTTCGGTACACGTTTTCTTTTTAGATGTTTCATCTTCAAAATTGTCTTTCCGAAGTTATTTCCCTCCGGTGTATTTCTTCCATAAAAGAAATACCTTCCTTGAAGGATATGCCTCGGCAAAAAATGACTTCCTATTTGAGAAGGCAAGTAATTGTATTTGATTATTAAGTCACACGCCTTTTTACTAGAATGATTTATAAGAACATATATCATTAGGCAAAAGTTTGCTTCATCTAACATTTGTTTTTTGGATAAGATAAATTAAACTAATATTAATCATTGTCTCTATGTGTCATCATCTAGCGCCTTCAAAATTATATTTTAGGTAAGATTCAACTTCTTGACTTATGTCTTATGTCTGCTTCTATTGCATACACAAATAATATTTTATGATAAAAGAGTATATATATAACTATTGGTAGGAACTGATTGCAGATATTCTGATGCAATATTCAAGAGGAAAATCTGCTCTAGTTTTTTGCTCAACAAGAAAAGGGGCACAAGAAGCAGCACAACGCCTCTCTCAGGTAGTAATGAACTTTGGTCATTCAAATCCATTTATTAAAAGTCATGAACAACGGGAAAGGCTAAGGGAGGCTTCCCTGTCATGCGGTGACAAACAGATGCAATCTTATATTCTTTATGGAGGTGAAGGGTGAAGGTATTCTGCAATAACACGTTATTTTGAAAAATTGCATGTCAAATTGATGTCACATACTATTTTTGCAGTTGGTTATCATAATGGCGGGCTTAGTCTTAAGGATCGTAATATCATTGAAGGCCTTTTTCTTAGTGCTGATGTCCAAGTTTTATGCACCACAAATACTCTTGCCCATGGAATCAACCTACCAGCTCATACAGTTGTAATAAAGTCAACACAACATTTGTATGTCAAATTGTTCTCCTCAAGGAAAATATTTATTATCTTTACCATAAGAGGAAAGAGCATGTATTGTATCTTATGCTTCAAAAGTTCCATTTTATTCAGCAACAAGGAAAAAGGCCTTTACATGGAATATGACCGATCAATGGTACTACAGGTGTGTTATCATATATTTATGTGCTGCTTCTATATTTTCATTTTATTCAGCAACAAGGAAAAAGATCTTTCCATGGAGTACCAATCAATATTTATTTGTATGGCTTTATTTACAACTGATTTTAGTTCTTCAGATGTGTGGGAGGGCATGTCGGGCACCATTTGATGATACAGGGATGGTTATAATCATGACTAGACGAGAAACAGTAATTTAAAGCTGTGTTTTGTTCCTCTTCCATTCATATTTCTTTTAGTTACTTTAATTTAGCCATGCTTGATTCCTGCTAAATTGTCTTTTATGATTTCATACGTGATCTCAGGTCCATTTATATGAGAATCTCCTGAATGGATGTGAAATGGTAGAATCACAGTATGTTCACGACTTCTAAAATCAATTTGTACTATCTTGATTTGATCTTCTGTTTTTCTTGAAGTGCTCGTGTTTGGCAGTTTATCTGACACGGTTATATGGATATACTTCAAATACATGAAAAGACCTAAAAAGAATTTAATATATCCATATTGGACAGTTATTGACACTCAAAGTTATAGTCATTAATGAAATATATTGTACTAAATTTTTCTCTAACAGATTGTTGCTTCTGAAGAAAAAACTTAATTCTTTTCCATGAGAAGATAACGTGCTAATGATATTACATTAATTTATGGTCAGTATTTGGATACTTTCATTCTGAGCATATTTCTTATTTACTCAAATATTTTAGTCAAATAGAAGTCGGGAAGACATTGGTGGGAAGCTTAATTCTAAATGATATCTGTGCTTCTTTCCTCTATATTAACGTTCTAACTTTATCTGATTCGGAAGCAGCAGAGTGGATGACTTTTTAAGGTATGCAAGCTTCTTTTCGAACTCCTTATTTTGTGAAGATCAGCCTAATGATATTTTGAAGTAGGTTTTTGCAAGACATTGCCATTTATGGTTTATGATTGTGTTCAAAGTATTTTACATTATATAAATTTGACCTGTTCATAATTCATGTACCATAAATTTTGATACATTTTAGTATTCGGGTTTTGTGCTATTGTTTTCATTCCGAGTTCAAAATTGCTAAGTTATGAATTGGATTTGTCGAATTAGAGTTCCGACTAGATGAAGATGGAAATAGATCCCCTCAAAACCATCGTTTTTTCGCAATAATTTCTTCCTAGTTCCAATAGATTTGTCAAAATTACAGAGCCGATTGGCATTTATACTTCATTGACCATATGAAAGAATTTGGCTCTATATGCTAAGTATAATTAGTTCAGAATGACTAATTAGCTACATATTTCCCTCTTACTACAGTTTGAGGCAGAGGTGTTTGGTTATGCTTGCAGCCCCTACAGCACGACAATCCTCGTGTCAAACCCCCTGGAAAAGATAACCATAAAGGCTGATCTTGTTTTTGAAGAATACAGCTAAGTTTCTAAAAGTCTTAAATCCAATGCACATAAATTACAGAGGCTTTGGACTCATTTTGAAACGTTATCCATGCAGTTGGCCTTGATCTCCATGAAAAACTTCTGCTATTTAAGGAGAGCGAATCAACTCCCTATCCTAAACTTGTAAAGAAACCAGCTCATTTTTTTGCTCCTCGGGAAGTTTATGTTATTGAAGATGACAAGGAAGCCAAACATCAATCTTGCCAAAAGACCTATCTATTTGATTGAATCTAAAATGGGAAGTTCTTCAATGTGAGAAACAGAATGTTCTTCTAGATATCAAGTGCCTCATTTCATTTTACTTCACCCTTTGATCTTGTCATATAATTCCTTTCTATTGCAGGCCCAGTTTCAACCTCTTGGATGAAGAACCTGGAGAAGGTATGGAATTAAGCTGTGATCTTCATCACGTATCTTGGTATCTTTTTCTCCATTTCACGCTGCATTTCCGCCTCAGATGCTGTAGGTGAGCTTGCTTCTGGAACTGAAGAAGATGACTGTAAAATCATCACCGATCAGTCGATATTCGACCATATACGAGAAAAAGGCCAGAGCTTCCCTCTCCTAACTCCATCAAACAATGCCTATTCTCCATTATCCGGAGGATTAATTCTCCCAAGAAAACGCTCTTCTAACTGAGTGCAAAGGAAAATCCGTCAACAGATTGTCCTTGATCCTTTGCCAGAATCCACTGAGCCAGAACAGATTACCGATCGCATCAATAACTACCTAACCAGAAAGTGTCATGTTATTGCCGGGAGCTCAATTACAATTGATATCACAGAGGATTCAGGTGCATTTTTTTATGAAAGTTTTGTATGTAAACTATCAGTCTATTTGTTCTAGTTTGGTGTTAAAATATTACTTATTCTGTTCAAGGTGATCTTCGACCTGAACCTAAAACGTTCTCGTTCGAAAGACTGACTGAAGAAACAATATTTGATCACATAAGGAAAAAATCCAAGAATTTTCCAGTAACCAATACGCCAAAGGTCATTGAGTACGATTGTTTCATTCGTGCCGAGGCACACAACTCAGAGAATCAACCAGGATTTGGCAGTGCTACATTATGTACATCTAAAGATGCAATGGTCATTTCAAAACTGGAACACAAGGAAGCCAATGTAGACCCAGGTGGCACCATCAGCACAAACGTGAAGAACATTACATTCAACGGAAGTTCCCCCGGAGCAAATGGTGAATCGGCATCGTCTATTAAAATGCTGTCGTTTGATATTTCAATGGTTAAGAACAACAGCAAGCATCCAGCGGATCTTGGAAGCTCCACCGAGGATGGTCGGAGCGACTCAAAAAGACAGCGGTGCTCCTTTACCTCCACAGGCCAAGCCAGGGAAGTGGATTTGTTTCTTGGTTTTCAAAGTGTTTTTTCATTTCTATGATTTTCTCCTTTAAATATGGTGAGTGGTTTTTACAAATTACTCACTTTCATCTGAAATTTTGCTGCATTTCATTGCTCTTTCTACGTTCATTTTCTTTAATAGGACTGAAATCTGTACCTGAAACTTTATTATTCAAGTCACATTTAATAGTGTTTTGGTTATTTCTTTTTCGTATCCATTTTGTTAAATCATTTCGTGTTAATGTAGTTAAGAATAGGCTAAAATTTGAACCATCGAGACGGTGGTTAAAAAAGTGTTATTTTCTTATGAGATTATGTATTTAAAAAATTACATCTATAACTTGTATATATTGTTAATAATATACTAAAATTCAGATTGATTTGTTTGTATGGCGTATGTGCGGATAAATTGGGCAAATAATCCACCCAATAGGGCACTCAAACTTTTAATTTGGGATCTACGACAATTGCAACAGTGCACATGGAACTCGTCATGTCGGCGTGACGAATAAATTTAATCATTAAAAAAAATATTTTTTTAAGAAATTTTTAAAAGAAAAGTAAAAATAATATTTTAATGCCCATGGAACTCGTCACGCCGGTGTGACGAGTTCAACGGAAAAAATATGTCTTCCCTTTAAGTTGTGCACATCATCTTCAATCTCTTACATAACAGACTCCTTATATCTTCAATCTCTTACACAACAAACTCCTTTCATTTAACCAAAAACATTTCAAACAATGAGTAACAAATTCTTCACAGTTGTCCATTATAATAGAAAATTTGTACAAACTGATGTTGGTGTTGTGTTTAAGTCACACATGCAACATCAATGTTTGTCTACAATTTTGCCAGACTTGATTCTGATTTTGTTGTCCAAGCACTAGTTCGACCACATGAGGGAGGTAATTCTACAACATAAACTAGTAATCTAAATAGAAAATGGTGTGATTGTGGTCGATTTCAAGCTTTTAGGTTCCCATGCGCTCACGCTGTTGCTACATGTATGCACATCAATGTTGACCCATACTTATATGTTGATGACTGTTATAGCTTGCACACTATGCGTAACATTTACAGTTGTGACTTCAAATACCTCCCAAATGAAGCATATTGGCCTACTTACACAATTTCTGAGGAATGATTGCCAAATCCTCAATTGCATAGGAAGTTACGGGGTCGACCTGAATCTAACCGAATTCATATCGATATGGATGATCCTCAAAGAGAGCCAGGTCAACTCAAACTTTGTGGCCACTGCAGAGGTGAAGGTCATAGTAGAAAACATTGTCCACATCTTCCAAAATATCGAGTTGGACGCTAAAATAGGCGTTACAAAATATTATGTACCGTAAAACCCCTAGTTCCAAACTATTAATAAAATTTGTTTTTTCTTTTTTCAAGGATCAAAAGTAACCTTTGGAAAACCCCTAGTTATTCAATGATTATCGGTATGACCTTTGTATTTTTTAAACAAATCTAGCCGTTAAAGACTGTTGGGCTGAACAGTATCGATACTCCTCTTTATGGTATCGAGACTACTGTGTAAACTAGTATCGATACCCCCATAAGTATCGGAACCTATTTTGCATTATGGAATTTGACCCGTTTGGAAAATACTGGTAGTATCGATACTCACTTGGTAGTATCGATACTTCTTTTACCTTTGGCATCGGTACCAAATGAACAATATCGGTATTGTTTTTTAAATGAAAATGGAAAAGACAGATTTGTAATTGAAAATTTAAAATTTTGATAACTATAACTTCCCATTTTAATGATAAATAAAATTTGAATTTTAATGAGACAATAATGAATTAATAAAGACAACATCGTACATAAACTAAAACCATACAAATCAATATTTGAATACATGACATTTTTTAATTTTTTTACATCTCTCTATAATTCGATCTTCCTTCGTCTTCTTCTTTTCAATTTCTATACTTCCCCTTTTAATTTTTTCTTCCCTCTCAACTAGTCGTTTGCTATGCCGCTTCGGTAAATCTTCATACTTCCTCTTCTTCTCCTATTTCATTTTTATTTTATTCTTATTATGCTCCTCAACTATGTACTTTATTTCCTCCTTTTCCCACTCTTCATCTGAAGAATAGTGTGAATCTAAATCATCGATCTCCGAGTCGGTGTTGTGAAACCCATAAACACCGTTAGCCAAATCAATCCCAAATTTTTCCCACGACCACAATTTTGATATTCTCATTTTTTTGTCACTTCTCATACATCATAATCTTCACCCTAAACCCCTATTTATACTAAATTAAAAAAATAGCCGTTATAACTCGTCACACCGAAGTGACGAGTTCTAGTTAATTTAAAATAAAATTTTGACCGTTCCACATCGGTCACCCAAACGGTCCAATATTTGAATTTATAACCATTGGAACTCGTCACACGGCGTGACGAGTTCCAAGTCGTTTTTTCAAATTTGTTAAAAAAATTATAGAAGTTTGATATTATTTTTAACTTTAATTTTTTTAATATTTTTTAAATTAAAATTTGTTAAAAATTTCTAAAAGTTTGAGATTATTTTTAACTTCAAAATTTTAAATTTTTTTATAATTTTAAAAAAGTACACTTTATTTAATTATAATTTAAAAAATAAATAAATTTATTACTTAACAATGAATTTTTTGATACAATTAAATATTGAGTACAAAAAACATAAATAAACAAATTTATTACTTATATTTGCGAAATTCTTGTCGATGTCGAGGCGTGCTGGAATGGTAACGATGTGGTGCTCGTCGATTTTGTCGTGGTCATCCACCTTCTTCATTTTCCTCTTCTTCCGATTCCGGTGTGTCGAACACTACTCCACCACTTTGATATACATCTTCGGGTGAAAAACATGGAGTACTCAAGATATTTGACGCCATCATTGATGTCATCGCCTCAAATTGAGATTGTCCGTGATGAAGAAGATGATCATATGAACCTATTTTTTCAGGTTCTAAGGAAAATTGTTGTGAAGGTGGCACTTGATCCCACCTACTTCCTTCCCACGCTGCTCGACTCTCTATCGATGGTTGGTATGCACTATATCCACCATAACTTTCTTGCGATGGATAATAATTGGCAGAAGCATAAGATGAAGATGTTGATGAATATGATGATTTTTCCATATTTTGCCTTCATTATTTCCCACGCGAACCACTCCTCTGGCATTGTCAAGTATGGTTTCCCATTTGCTTCATAATTTTGGAGGTAGGGAGAAACATTGAAATCAAAATCTTTGGGTTGCACCTCGAAATGATTAGGCAATCATAAATGTCTATTTTTCCATTGATATATGAATGCAACATGCTTCCTCGGTCAATTTTCGGTATGCTTCCCACGCCTCTATTTTATGCAAATCGTCAATGTCATATATAGACATTTCTATCGGTTGGTGAAACCCAAATTATCGCAAAACTCTATCGGAGGCATGGATCTTAACAATTACGAAATGTAGCAATGGTGTTATGGCACACCATGTCTCCGCTCCTTCAAAGAACATTGGCGGTAGACACCGTTGGATATTCGACTCATAATAAGGCATCGAATTAAATTGTCAGAAGTATTATGTTATTATAATTAAACAATTAATATTACAATTTCAAAGTTAATGTAAAAATACTAAAATTTACCGCATGTCTACGGGAGATATCATTCCTCATCCGAATATCTACTTTGGTTGCACCCGATAACTTTATATCGGTTATTCGGCGTCACCATATAAAAAAATTATGTTATTTATTGTCATTTTCAAAATATTTATATAAATATTATAAAATATCAAAACTTTAAATATATGAATTTACCTTGGTGTGAGAAGAAACTCCATAGGAGAAGATGTAATAGGCATCATAAACGGGAGATGATACCACACCCATGATTGGAGTAAAACTAAA